AATCCTTGAATCTATCTTACTTCCAAAGAAACGAGAAGGAAATATTAACCTTCGTCTTAATCTTTCTTTCGTTCGTTTTCATTATTACTAAATACAAATGATTTAATGGTCAATTATATAACAGCTAGGACTAGAGCTTTATACAATGGTATCTTGTAAATGTATACATGCACGCCCCCACATAAAACCCCCAACGATCGTTCGATTGTATGATTATCCCAGCCACTCTATCTTGACACTCAATTCACAATATGTTATCGGGACTCCGTACAAGAATCCCATTTTCTCTCAAATAATTCTTGACGTCTGCCACAGGCACTTCTTTTCGATGAAATATTCCCGCGGCTAAAGCAGCATCTGCCTTAGTCCTCTCAAATACTTCACTGAAATGCTCGACCCTTCCTGCTCCACTTGATGCAATGACAGGAATACCAACGGCCTTTTTAACATCATCGATAAGCTCAATATCATATCCAGAGTTAGTTCCATCCTTGTCCATGCAATTAAGCAAAATCTCTCCGGCACCCATTTTTTCGCATACAGTCACCAATTGGTGTACGTCAATGTCACGGCCTTCTCTGCCTCCTTTAACAGTACACTGATACCAACAATATTCTTGACCTTGTGGACCAGGATATATTGTCTTTATTACGTGGTGAGCAGTTTCGTTAGGAGAACTTACGTACACTCTACGCGGATCGACAGATATTACAACAGCTTGGTTACCATACGCTTTAGCAATGGTTTCGATTGCTGTATCTCCATTTAACTTGTAACCGTTCTCGAGATATCTTTCTACAGCGTATACAGCATCGCTACCAATAGATACCTTATCAGCACCAGATCTGAAATACTGTCCGGCAACATCCAACGCCGAATGCAATTTCCCATCAGGATCGACAACGTCTCGTATTCCACCTCCAATAGTCAAAGGTACAAACACAGTCTCGCTGGTACGTCGTAGTACCTCCAACATTGGTAAATCAGCCAGCGGACAGTTTCTGAAACTGGTGATATTTAAAAACGTAATTTCGTCTGCACCCTCTTCAAAATATCTGCGTGCGAGGTCAACTGGTTTGCCGAGATTTCTCACTTGCCCACCATTATCTCGTTCTCTGACATCATATTGATCACCCTTTGTCACAACTAGATCGCCCTGATCATTAGTGCGAACATCTAAGCATGCGATTATACGTTTAGTCAGGTAATCTGATGATGCTTCAACAGAATCACAAAGTATAGTAGGCTGGTCGGACACTCCGTTCCATTCTAGGAAACTCCTGAGTATTCTCAGCCCAGCATATCCACTTTTCTCTGGATGAAATTGGGTGCAGAATATGTTATCTTTCTGAATGACGCTTACAAATATTTCATCACCATATTGGGTAGTTGCTAGTGTCCATGTCGCGAGATCTTCTGTGTATGGTACCGCGTATGAATGAACAAAGTAATATACCCTGTCGTCAGAAAGACCGAATGCGGATAACCCTTGTTTACGTTTTAGTGTTTTATTCCATCCCATATGAGGAACTGATTTAGTGGCGTTGTCAAAGAGTTTAACACGTCCATTGACTATGTTTAGTCCATGGACGTCAGGTGATTCATCCGAACTGGTAAAGAGAGTTTGTAATCCAATACATATGCCCATGAACGGTCTACCAGATGCAATGTATTTTTTCAGTGGATCAACATAGTTCTTTGATACAAGAGATGTCATCGCACTACCGAATGCGCCCACTCCAGGAAATATGAGTTTCTATGCAAGCAAAGAATGCCAAATAAGCAGAGACCACCAACATAGTTCATCCTTGGGAAATGAAGAAGATACTGAAAGTAGAATTAGCACATGACACGTATTAAACGTACCTTTGCTTTGAGGATATCATCAGGCTGATTCACTGGTCGTATTTCATAACCCAATTTAGTAATAGCATTAACCAAACTGCGCACATTCCCCGCTCCGTAATCCAACAGGTATAATTCACTCATATCTACAATTTTTATTCGAAAATGCTCTGTGATGGCAAAAAGGTTTCATTGAAAATGCGCCCAATATATCACCAACAAAAAATCACGTAGCGTGACTTTATCGTTGTAATACCATGCATGTTCTAAACCAACGAAAACTGCGCGATTTATGTTTACATGCCAATTTAAGAATGGAGATGATTAACCCTAACAGCTACGAAAAAACCGCAGTAGATATGACTCACAATAAGTAATAGATCTCACTATTACGATAAAAATATGGGATCGTACTTGCGTAGATTATACATTATTGCACTTATCATAAACGGCGTGATTTAAATAATTCACTACTGTCTGGGGTCAAAATAATCTGGTAAATGACGTGACTTCATTAACAACTACGTAAGTTAGACAAAACTTGAGGCTACGAGGTGTTCATTGATAGTTTACACACCATTTTCATCTATAGAAAGATGGCCAAATCTAAATTCGAATACGTGAAGAAGTTCGAGTTGAATGATTCTCTATTGCCTAATACCTGGTTGGTTGTTCGTATCGATGGGAGGGGCTTTCACAGGAAAGACACAACTTTAGTGATAATGGAACCGTTTCTGGAAATATTTTAACGCGTCGTCCTTTGATTCTTTTACATGGTCCTAGATTCTCGGATGTTCATGATTTTAAAAAACCAAATGATAAGAATGCGTTGGATCTTATGAATAAATGTGCTGAATGTGTTATGAACAACGTTCATGATGTGTTGCTATCATACGGACAAAGCGATGAGTACAGGTGCATAAACTAATAAATAATAATTTGCCGAAAAACGAACGATTATACTGATTCTTGATTTTTTGAATAGTTTTGTGCTGAACAAAGAATGTAATCTCTATGATCGTCGCGAATCGTAGGTTATATACATGCATTTAGTTGGTCAACATGGATAACAACATATTAACCCTGATTTTAGCAAAATAGTCTCGACTATCGTCAGTCTATTCACATCCAGCTATGTCTTTTACTGGAAGAACTTCTTTCCTGATCAAGAACTTCAATACCCTCCTTCATTCGATGGACGCTTAGTGCAATATCCGTCAGATACCAATTTACGCGACTATTTGAGTTGGAGACAAGC